AAATAGGCTCGGTAACTATTGTAGCTACACAACCATTACATCCCGAAAGGCTTCTTTTTCCTTCGCAATCAATCGATCTAACTCGATCTTTTCTGCCATTTTCTAGACTGTTGTCCAAAATTGAGGTTCTGATTTCCGCGGTTTTCAAATCTGGCAAAAACATTTGATTGTTAAGTGTCAGGCACTTTTTGAACTTCAACGAAAAAAAAATTATGGCCTTAAAGCTCTTTGAATTTTAGCATAATTCAAGACTTTTCCTGGAACAAAAACGAACAAAAATCACCAAGACATCTTTAAGAGTAATCACTACAATCATGACTTTTAACAAAAAATGGATTGTAGGACTTGGGCGAAGATTCCTGTTATACTATCATATTCATTTTTCAACCTAAGTCCTACAATCCATTTTTTTGTTAAAAGTCATGATTGTAGTGACTACGTTTGTGATCAAAGTTTCCTAATTAAACAGGCGAAGATTCCTGTTATACTATCATATTCAACCTGTTTAATTAGGAAACTTTGATCACAAACGGATAAAAAAAGTAAAAAAGCATTTTTAGCTACGCATTCTTAATGACAGAATTTTTCCACAAAAGCAAAGCGGCACTTCACAAACAAGAAAAAAATGGCAAAAGGTAAATTGAAGAAAAAAGAAACTCAGTGTAGAAAGAAAATGAACTTATAAAAAATTGGAGGTTTTCATCTCAACCCATCGACCACCAGATTATGAACAGCTCGCCTCTGCCGCTACGCCACCCGTCTTGCTGCTTTACTTCATTAACACATCTTCACAAAAAATAACCAAACGAGAAAGCGGAAAAAAGGAGCTTTTAAATGCACAAGACAAAGTTTTTGCATATAAAAATATGGAATTAATCAAACTAAAGGGAACCACACAAACTTCGCGTGTAATAAAATCGAAGGATCAAGTAAACATCCTCCCTCCCCTCCCCCCCCCCCCCCCCCCCTCAGACAGACCAATTTAAGATCTTCCACGCCAGCATTTAATTCGCATTAACTTTGCTAAGCACTGCATGTAAAATGCATGATTCTGATTGGCTGAAAATTCCCAACTTAGAACCAAGTTAAGATACTCACCCCCAAGCCGTTTGGGGGAAGGGAAGGAGGGGGGTTGGTGTTAACTTGGTTAATTACCCATATTTAAACACTCGCAAAAATTGGTTGACAGTATTGCACTACGCTATATATAACCACATCGACCTCAAAAACTGTCCGAAAAAATCAAATATTATATTATGAAAAGAATAAACAACCTCCGGATACATGAAGCAGTAAATTTAGGTTCTTTGAGCCAATACTATAGAAACCAAAACATTAAGTGGACAATAAAAGCATGGCATGTTTTTAAAAAAGCTTACTTGAATTACAGCACAAGATCCACTTATGCAAAAAAAGATCGAATAAAAACAAATCATTTACATCGACAAAGAGAAACTTTTTTTATTTCACTTGCTATCAGCAACTCTTAGCGAAATTGGGTGCAAAACTTCTTTTCCACAAAGCAATTACGTCAACAAAAAGACGTTTTTAATTTTTCTGAACATGCTGCTGCTGATGATAATGCTGATCGCCAAGTAAAACAAAGATGGCCCTTTGCTGTGCAAGTAGCACAGAATGTTCCGACCTGATTGAATAAAAAGAGCCAGAAATAAGAAAAGCATTTTGTAATTTGAAAACTTTTCCTCAAAGTTTTCTGTTATGTTTTTATCGCGAGAAGGTCATTGAAATAGATGAACAAATACACGAATTGCTCATTAATAGCTATTCTAGCGCTTAAAGTCTAGTAGAAATAAATTTGCAGGGCAGCCTCTTATTCCTGTCGAAACTCTTGCCTAATTAAACTGAAAAACGAGAAAAATTCGGACCAGTTTTTGTCGATAATGAGATAATTTTCTTAATTTTTTACAAAACCAATCAAGGCCAATAGGGCTTTAATATGTAACAACACTTGACTCCTTACGAGTTTTTCTTCGGGTAGTCAAAATTGGCTCGAAAAAAATCGACGTTAATTCCTTGATCCTTTTAAATCTTCGCGATTGGCCATAACAATGACGAAAAATTATTTGCATATTGAGTTAGTCTTGTCATTGCTTCAAGTATTCACATTGAATTACGGTAATAGCATATTGGAGTTAATTCAGCGTGATTCGGATTTCTAAGCAAAAAATATTTTAACATTGTCTCAGTGTCGAGAAAAATTGGTCAAAATGTTTCAATTTTTCAGATAGTTAACCAATAGGCTAGTGAATAAAATAGAATGACTTGTCACTCTGCAAAGAACAAATGAATAGGCACTTCCAATTTTTTGAGTTTTTAAACATTATTATCTACATTATGAAGACACCATTTCGATTGTAACAACTTCTGATTCTTGTACAGCATCCACATAATCTTGTTAGGTCGGAATTTGTATTATCCCAAAAACACCTTTAATCACAAAAACAAAAATAGCAACTCATTTGCGTTAGCACTGCAGAAAATCAAACACGACATCTATACGAATTTTTTTAAAAACTTTGTCGTGTTTCAAAGCTGATTGTCTTCGTTTGGAGACACTTACAAAAGAATCTAAGCATAACGAACAAGTTGACAATTTACGTTTAGTGAAGCTCGACTACAAAAAGAGAACAACGCTATAGAACTTCTCGTGGTGAAACCACATGAAAAGCATTCACACTCAACCTTCCATTCCAACCCCAATCAAGTTCTTCTATCTCCCCGGCAGAGATCTGAAGGATCATCAGCCTCCGACCACAAGGAAATAGAGCAGCCGTGACCATGTGGGGTATCGCCAGCGTTTCTCAACACGAGGGTCGTGCTTTCGATGTCTCTTCATGGTCTTCATGATCCAGGGTCGTGCGTTCGAATCCCACTTCGGTCATAGTTGAAGGAGTCCCAGTGTCATTTGCCTCCTCATGGTGGGACTGGCAGCGGTAAAATGGATGAAAGCTCTCCGTTACGGTTGGTCCTGCATTGAGTAGGACCGGGACAAAAAATACCCAGGGATATCAGAGTCGACATTCTCAGTAAATCTTCATAATCAAGTCCTTTTCAGGCTCACACACCCTTCAAGATGTTATGACTCAGCCTTAACATCTCAACCGTGAACAACCTAAAAGCTTCATCTTTTTGGAAACGTAGTAAGTAAATACTAGAGGCTAGCAAAATAACTGTAAAGAACCGATGCCATATAAACCGGAACCTTTTGAGCCGACTAAATAGAAAAAATGAAAACAAAAAAACTATACTAAAATTGGAGTTGGTAAATTTACAACCAACAAAGACAAAAAGCAGCTCTATAAAGTGCAATAAGAAAAAATAGAAATAACCCTGGAATTGGCAAAAATAATTCGGCTAAGTCTGGAGATTCGAACCTGCGACCTAGAGATTAGGAGTCCCACAAGCTAACCACTCAGCCACGGAAGCTAAATAGCTACCAAATACTAGCCAGAAACAAAACAGCTCAGCAATTTCCAATGCTACAGTCAAATTTCCAAATAAGTGAACACTTTTACTGAGCTTTTATTTGCGAGTTAACTTAGAAAAAAAGAAGTTTCGTAAAAATACACTCAGCCTATTCGCTAGTGTAAATAGAATGGGCATTTAAAATTCAGACATGCTCAAAATTTATCTGTCGGTCGACGAAGGTACGAAAATGGAGATCTTGTCATCAGCGGTGGATTTTGGAGGGGGGGCGGACGCCCCCCCCCCCTTTCAGGGATTCGCCCCCTGCCAACCCAAAGGGCCCCCTCTTTGGTACTTTTAAAGAAATCCAATTTTGGCCGACGGAACCTAAAATTTTTCTAAAGGCGCCTTGGGCGCCAATATATAATAACTTTGAGGGGGAGCGCGCGCCAAAAAAAAGCGATTTTTTTGTCAAAGTTTTCCAAAAAATACCCAAAAATGGTTTTTTTCAAAAATTTGCCTGCGGCGCAGAAAATTTGGCCAAAGCAGGGGCTTTTTACTGCTTTAGGAGAGCTCGGAAAATCTATTTGGTCGACCTAAAAAAAAGTTCGTCAAAATTTTTGAAAATTTTTCAAAAATCCGCCCCGCCCCCCTCGAGAAAATCCTAGATCCGCCCCCTGCTTGTCATCCTGTAAACAAAGTTATTTACGGGAAAAAATTATTGCCCGGTTGCAATAACAAATGACTTATTGTAACACTCACAAATTCGAGTTCATTCCTTGCAGCAAAACTGCCATTGACTTTTAAGACAGGTTCCAACAAAATGTTTACTGTTTTTTTTCGAGTAATCTCGTATGAATTGAAAGATAAAGATCGGAGAAATCTTCACATTGGCAGAAAGTTTGACTGAGAAATAAAAACCAATCTGTAATTCAGCACTTTTAACCAACGCATGAATTTCTCAGCAAAACAAACAAAATATATAGATTCATCGCAAAATAAAAATGACCCGTAAAAATCTTTTTTAAGTTTTGACATATATAGTTTTTATCTTTACAAGATTTTTTTATAAAATTAAATGCAAATGAAATATCTGTATCTGAGCTTGCTGTCTTCAAGGTAACAATCTATTCATTTCAATCGTTCAATTTCGGTTCGATTGAGATCCATTTGAATATGGTGTTGTTGATTCATTTGCATCTACCATCAAAACGTGTTTGAGGGTATGAGAAAAGGCAAACATATAAAGATAGCATCAGATGAAGGCAACTGTCACCGTTGCTAACCAGAGAACTTCAACCATAACTACTTTTTGATGAATTATTTTGAAAATAAAATACTCACTGACTTTATCCAAAAACTTTATCATACAAACGTAGAATAACGTTATTATCTTTTACTTTTCAATGAAAGCAACCGCCAAATATATTACAATCATTGACTTATATCTCAATCCTGAAAAATCCCGATTTTTGTCAAAGCTAACCGAGATAATTTTGAAAAAACTGGACACAACGACGCATAAATTAATGTACCAAATGTCACGCATTTAGTTAAGAAGATTAATACCTTGTTTTTAGGTTTCCGAAGTTACACATCATTCATGCATATGAGACTATATGTCTCCAAATTTTTTTTTAGAAGTTCTCTAGTTACAAAGATTGATACAGTTGAAATAAATAGCGAGTGAACAAAAACAAAACAAGACGCATTTAACGTTCAATCATTTTGTAGTTAAACCATGTATAATCAACATTTTTGCCTGAAGAAGATTTTTTAAACCAAACTCTCCGTGTAAGAGTGTCTCAAAGTTGATCTGGTTAAAGCAGAAAAAAATGACTTTTTTCTTTAACAGATGCTCGAAATACTCTGCAACTCCTACTAAGCAACTGCAAGTAATCAAATGTAACCAAATTTACTCAACACAATAGTAAATACAATTCAAGTTGCGCGACATGACATTGAAAAATCCAAACTCGCAACTTTTCAAACACGAAAAATTGTATGATTCGAATTCGAAATGGACAAATAAGGAATTATTTCAATGCGAATTATATCGAAACAACGACAATGGAGTAGCAAGAAAGAGCAATTGATGCAAAGGATGTTAGTTAGTACAGTAGTCTCGATGAAGACGGTCCAATCTACTGCATTTTTTCAGCCCATGTTATGTCATGTTAACTTTTCTACCTCAAAGTACTTACAACACTAGTTATCACAGGTTAGAGTACAAGAAACGAAAGCAGAAATAGGCAAATAAATAATAGACGAATGTTGATAATGCTTCTAAAGCAGAAGTTTCTTTCGGCTGATTTTTCGCTCTCCTCCAATCACTTCACACGTCCTTGGCTCGAAGCTGTTCAACTGATGTTCGAAGAAATCCGAAGTGAAATTTGTAAATCATCTTTGCAGCTATATTCCACAGTATTTTAAATTGTACGCTACATCTGATATATTGTGATCCTTTACTTGTACCGATACTAATTTTTCAAGGGTTTTTTATGCTCTGGGCATTTTTAATTTTTACTAGGGTTTGATGCTGGGGTGGGTGTTGAACTGTAGGTTGCACTTTTTGCCTGATTGAACAAATTCTGAACTGAGATTGATTCGCGACTGATTTCGTCAGCTGACATCATCGAGGCGTTTGTGTACGAGCAGTCGGCACTGTCTATTCGTTCGACGCTCGTGTTCGAAGCGACAACTTCTTGACCTTGGGAACGTGTGGCGTTCACATTTGAGGTCAAGTTCAAGTTCATATTTGAAGGCACCGAAACTGATGAGTGAAGGGAAGTGAACTGTTGTGCGTTTTCTGGGTTGCACGACTGCTCGTTCAACATGCTTGAACTGCTGGCTGACGCCGGACAACCATCAACTACAGAGGTGTCTTCGCTTTTAGGTAATGATGTCAACCCGCTATTCAGCGAGAGAGGTGCGTTCATAACCGCTGATTGTAGGGCGACCTCGGACGCCATTAGACCAGCAGATGATAATGTTTCAAGGTTGGTGGATATCACTGAGTGTCCTTGAGCTTGAGAGTTTGGGTGATTCGTACTAGTTTTATGATTGCCGCTGAGACTGCTATTACTCTGTGGCAAGTCACCATGAGCACCGATGGCAGGAGGCTCACTGCTTGATTGAGGAGTTTGAGGCAGTAGCGCGAAGTAAGCAGCTTCGCCGTTAGCTAGAAGGGGTTCCGGTGCGGCACAGTTAGACTGAGCCAGGGTATAAAGAGTAGAATCCGTGAGCTGGTTTTCAGGGCGGTCGCTTTTAGTGACCATTGCTCCTCGCGTTTTCCGCGTGTAGGTATTAGATGTTCCGCTGTTAGGGAAATCACCCAAAGATAGGGGGAGGTTAAGAGCGCCTAAGGGCGATGACATGGATGTCGGGATCTGATGTTGGTGGACTTGATGTCTAGGTGGAATCCTTTGATTCTGATATTGCTGGTTGAAAAAGGCAGCGTTCTGTTGGTGCTGCTGCATCATGAGTTGATGACTTGTTACTGGCACGTTGGATATCAGCATGTTGTTTTGCTTATCCATTTGCACGTTAACCCCGTAACTCGAGGTTGGGATGATTGGATTGCCACTTTCGCCATTGCTGCCGAACACTACACCCGGCATTATTGCTGCATTTTGGGAGGAGGAGTTTAGCTTGTTTGTCTGCTGTTGTTGGTTCATTACTAAGGGTGAGTTGGCACTGCGATGGTAATTTGTCTGGCCAGGGTTGCTGTTGCTGGAATTGTTGGCTGGGTGCACATACCCACGATTGAAGTGTGGACCTCTGTTCTTCCGGTTTCCCCCATAGTTCCCACCACTCCCGTTTGGAAGGTTCATTAAGGTGTTGTTATGGGAACCCATTTGTTGTTGATATCCTCCGTGAAGAAGACCTACAAACATTGGGGCTTACACAAGAGAACAAGCGAGCTCTGGTAAATTGTTTATTCTTGTTCTGACCGTTGAAAATGGGGAGGAAATTTGTCTTCGGTTGTACTTTTTTTTTGCGCAAAATCAGGTTTTGGAAGCTTCAATCAGCGCTTCCTTGCCAATAAAAATTTTTCTGTTAAAAAAAAACTAGAAACGTTTTTTGATTGTTTTAATATATTTTTCTAAAAAAAACTAATGATCGGAATTATACCTAATTCACTGACTGTCTACAAGTTGATTAGTTCTCTAATCGCAACACGCACAAAAAAAAAGAATTTTATTTGAAAAAAAGTTTTAACACTTTTTTATGAATTGTCGGAACATTCTAAGCTACTTGCACAGATGATTGAGCAAAACATGTTCTCCGATTTTCAGTATATTTAAACATAGCCAACAGAAAGTTGAAAAATAGTCAATGAAGGCAACTAAACCTCTTTTTTTTAACTTTCGATTTTCAAAAAAAAATTATGATTGACACATTTTTGATGAACTAGGTTAACGCATTTTGCAGACACTAGATCAATAAATAATTTTTTTTTCGATGGGAAAATTTAAATTTAAATTCCACTTTCAATTTAAATTCCACTTTCAAAACTAGAACTGAAATTTAAATTCCTCTATTAAAACTAGAAGTCGATCACTTTTTGTTCCGACTTTCGATACGAAAGTAACGGAACATTTGTGCTCGGGGTGGGTTTTTTTTTCTTCAGACAAATTTCGACTTTTTAACTAGCCATTTTTGACGGAATTTTTTTATATCATTCAAAAGGTATTGTTGTCCTGAGCTTAAATTTGAAAAGATATTTTACCTGTGATCATTTTTCGTAAAGTTATCAGGGTTTAAAGATTGCCATTTTGACCAATTTGGGACAATTAACGCGCAATATAATTCGCGCTATTAACGCGTAAGCGGAGATTTAATCCGTCTTATAAGTCGTTCCAAATTGGTTGAACGAAGCTTGTTTGCCATAATTGATTTGTTACAAGGAACGAAATCTATCTTTTTGTACTTTATATGGCGTGTGGGGGGATGGTTTTCTTTAAAAAATTTCAAATTTTAGAAAAAAATTTCATTTTATTTTATTTCATTTAATTTTTTGATGTATTACTAATGCTCAATAAATCTTAAAAGGCAGTCGGAACATTCAGGGCTTCGCCCTGATACGAGCAGTCTTGTTCTTTTTTCGTGACGTTTACGATTTTGCTGCTGTTCTACAGTGGAGTTTGCGTTCCTTTTAACAAAGGAAATTAACAGAAGTTAAAAAAAATCTAAAGTCAAACGACGAAAAGTAAACTTTAGCCTGAACAAATTTTAAGACTTTTACTTTAAAAATTTTTCACGACCTTGGATAAGAGTCTGAAATACGTTCATCGTAAAAACATCCAAGCTTTATCATTCAAATTAAATTTTTATCCGCGTATAGATTTACTTTTCATGCTAGAAAAAAGAATAAAAATTTCCCATTGACATCTCACAAGTAAATGTAAAAGAAACCAAGGATAGCCTGGAACTAAAACAATTTCGACAAAGAGCCGGAGCTGAGCTTCGCACCACTTGCAATCCAAAATTTATAGGAAGAGTGCACCATGACTCTAAACAATTAGGAAACAGAACTTACAATTGAACTGTTACAACTGAAGAAGAAATGGAAATTAAGAAAAAATGTTGGTGTTTTTTTTCTTTCGTGTTTGAATTAATTGAAGTTCTTCAAAGAGGTCATAGTAGGGTTGACTTTGGGCATTCAATAAGGTGAAATTCAGCCGAAATTTGTTGTCATAAAACATTTAAAAAAATTTCATAATACACCCAAATAACATCCACCGTAGCTAAACAAGTGGCGTATGGAAAAAAAGACTACAATTAGGAAACTAAACCGACATAGCTTAAGTCGACAACCATGAAGCCGAAAAATGATCAAAAGAAAAACTATCACTCTATAAATATAATTACAATGGTTTGAGTTCGAGATACATCATGAGTAGTATTAGTACCCGGTATTCAAAAATAAATTTTCTTGAAACTGAGCATGCCAGCAGCATCATAAGTGATTCAACTGATTTTGTTAAACTATTTGTAAACCCAAAAAAAGTATATTTTCCTATTTTATAACTCTTGCTTATCGCAAGCGTAACGCAGAGGTGAATCAGAGCTTTGCAACAATTGCGATACAGAAATGAATGACTATCACTTCTAGCAGATGAAGCGACACATCGAACAAAAAAAAACAAGTTTTTTTCTCAAAAAACTTTAAAAATTACAAAATTTTGGAAAAAAATCAAATGCACTTTACAGAATAGTCAAAGCGAAGCTTCATTTTACTCGCAATACCACACATACCTAGCATGATAAATTAACAGACAGAAACTGAGATAAAACCGCAAAAAAAATCTACCAAAAATTTTCGTTAATTTGTCTCAAATTTTTCTCGACTAAAATTCCTTTCCAGAAAATGCGCCAATAAGTAAAACAATTTAATGTGATAGAAGCACCGAAATAAATTTTCCAAAGCCGAGAATTCTAGAGCAGACACACGTAGAGCCAAAAAAAACTTTTTGCTCTTCGAACGATTCAAAAAAAGGCTTCTAAGCTATTAATTTATGAGCCAAAACCTATTAAGCCCAAAATAAACAAAGAAAGAAATTCCAACTAACCGAAAGATAAAATATAACCAACATTAATAAGGTCGGAAAGGAGCGTAAAAATTGTGTTTCCCTTGATACGACCTAAAATTAGATCACTAAGCCAATGAAAAATAGGCCAAAACAATTTGGGTCGAATCAAGTGTTTAAGCGAAACAAAAAAAGGAAATACGAAGTAAAGGTTAGTAAAATTACGAATTGCAGCAGTAAGCAGAGTCGAAGCGGAGCTTCGCACCACTTGCGATACAATTCAATCCTAAAAAAATATGATTCGAAAGCAAACGAAAAAAAATTGAAAAAACTGCTTCTTTCGATTGAAATTTTCATCTAAGATTTGCTAGCGTAATTGTTCAGAAAAGCAAAGAATATCTGAAAAAACTTTTCTCAGTTTAAAGTACGTCGTGGCCAGTAAAGTAAATAAGATTCACAAAATTGGGTTTCTCAATTGAACACTAAGCCTGAGAATTGGCACGGTAATTTTCAAGTAGATTAAAAAAAACTTCCAAAAAATGGCCAAACTTTCAAAACTTTCACTAGTTTGAAAGCCATAACTTTTTTCTAGAAGAAAGTAGGTGTAGCAAGTTTAAAAAATAAGCCTCCAATAACCTGTTATGCCGATTAAACCTATGATATCAAACTTGGCAGGATAGTTATCGGGAACCGTCCAAAAAACAGTCAACAAATCAGAAAGTTGACATTCCCAAAATTCTTAAATTTTGCTGTAAATGCAATTGAACTCAAAAACCCAGGTATGGGAGGGTAGTTTTCAAGAAGCGTCGAAAAATCAAAACTTTTAGTTTTATGAGAGCCATAAATTTTCTGTTGAAAAAGTTTGGCCATAGTCGCGTATTCAAGGGAGCTTCATACAACCTGTTTTTTGAATTGAAAAAATCATAAAATTTAGAAAAAAACGCCAAAAATCAAAACATTGTCTTTTCTGAAGACGATATTTTTTTGTGTGAAAAAAATGGTTAGTAGCTGCTAATGCAAGGGAGCTTCCCACTATTCGTTTTCTTCATTGAACCCACAACCTCAAGTTTAGGAGGTTAGTTTTCGAAAAAAGTTAAAACAAATTTAAAAACGTTCAAAAAAATCAAAACTTGACATTTACGTGTGCGATAATTCTAGGTGTAGAAAAAATTTGGGGGTACCAGACTCTGAAGGCAAGTTTTTCAGAACCAATTTACTCATTGAAACCAAAATCTCAGATTTGGTATTTAAGTTTTTGCTAATACGAAAAAAAAAATCAAAAATATCGGTCAAATATTTTCAATAATTTTAACGCAATAGGAGACCGGGGAGTATGCAGGCACACAAGAATGAAGGCGGTTCATCTATGAATAACCTTTTTTGAGAATCGGTAGAAGGGTTTTTGATCAAAAACTGAAAATTTTTCAAAAAGTTATATAGTTCTCCAAAGCGTCTAAAAATGAAAAAAACCAATCCAATACAATACACTTTCAAAAAACTTGTTTTTATCAACCAAGAAATCTGAGCGGCAAACATGCCAGGCAAGAAATTAGAAATTTAAATTAGAAACTGAACAAAACTTACGAAGCGGAAAAAAGGCCGAAATTTTTGAGCAGAGATCAGTTGAGCCGAAAAAAATGGTTTTGTTAAAAATTTTATGAAGTTTCATGTCCACCCTGAAAATAACCTGTAAATTAGTACCCACTTTGTAGTTAAATTTGAATTTTCAAGAGATCGAGCATGTCAGCATCATAAAAGATTAAACTGACTTTGTTAAACTAAATAATAACCCAAAAAAATCTCATTTTGCGCAGCAAAAAAAAACGATTCCGAGATGTGGCAATAAGCCGATAAAAAATAAGCTGACTAATAACTGGCGATAGTTTTTTTTGAACACAGAATATTTCCCCTTTGAAAAAAAAATCCAGTCAAATTCGAACCCAGGACCTTTGCCGTCCCAGGCGTACTTATTAACTCCAGGCTGAGTGGACCGAGAACGCAAAGAATTTGAATTAAATTTGGAACAAGGTACAAGTGATTCTGTTCAACAAGTTGTTAACCCGAAAAAAAACTGTATTTCAGCTAATCTCAAACGTAAAAAAAGGTCAAAGATCAAAAGGGTCATAACTTTTTATTAGGGCGTAACAATAGTGCGTAACCGTTGAAGCAGGGAAGCTTTTCACATTTCATTCCACCCATTGAAACTAAATTCTCAGATTCAGGAGGAAAGTTTTCGATAAAAGTCAAAAAGTTTCAAAAAAATAGTCAAAAATCGAAAATTTGAGTTTTCCGAGGGTTATGCCTTTTTATGTAACAAAATTGGGCGCAACCGATTATACGAAGAATTTTTTCA